ATGAATTTTATCGTAAAACTTTTGATCGTTCTTGTCGCCATGAACATCGCTAATTACAGAAAAAAAAAAGAAAAAAAAATCTATCGAAAGACAATATTTTCTTGTTTTTTCTTAAAAACGAGATTCGACATTTAAAAAAAAAAACAAAAAAAAAAACAAAAAAAAACTAAAAGGAAAGCAATAAAATAATATCGTAAGAGATTCTCAATTTCGATTCGACATTCAAAATATTGAACGTTCGAAGTAGACTCGGTCTTCTCGATAGTTTTTACAAAATTTTTTGGTAAAGACAAACTTGCCATTGACGTCATCGAGAAGCAAACGAGTCATCGAGCGTAAAACTTTTTAAGTATTATTCAACGAGCAATAAAGTTGATTAAATGACTACATTCAATAATAATTCTTAGCAATACGAAATGACCTTAAAATAGTCTAATATCTGTTATTTTTATCGGAGTTACGTATACCGGACAATCGAATCAAGACGATAAGAAAAGTTCAAAGCTTATCTGTAAAACAAATTATATTATATTTATCTTTTTCATTTTTATTGTATTTTTTTTTTTTCACCATGTCTAATCAATATACAAAATATTACACGTGTATCATATTCAAATTTTGTTTTTTGTCATAATTTGAATTACCTTAGCATCTCATATTTATTCAGTTCTTTTTATATAATTCTCTTATTTATATGTGTTTACAACAAACGATTACAGTAGATATATAAAAAATTATAGTTAGCGTCGGACGTCATTGGAAAAATATAAGAATAGTAAATAAGTTAGTTTACGACGAACGTTAGTAGAAGGAGTCATATGAGAAATAACCGATGACGTAGTTAAGAATGGAGTGGGGATATTCATGAATGAAGCTTCAGGAGAAACGTCACACGAGACGTGAAACACTAAATTTTTTTCTCGTAATACAAGACATTCGTTCCGCGTATGTATGTAAAAGATAACAGATCGATCTACGTGGAAATAGAAACAATCATGTGTAGTCATTCGATTAGCTTAGTAATTGTCTTCTGTGAAAATACCTGTACTGAAAGCAACATTATATCCTTAAAAAAAAAAAACAAAAAAAAAGAATGAGAAAATTACAATGGAAAAATAAGGCAAAAGAATGTACACAGTTAATGATCAAATTTTAAAACGATATCATTTCGTAATTTTATCTACTTAAGCTTGTAACTTTATTATCTAAGAATTAATGTAAAATGTTTGAAGAAAACAAAAAAAAAAAAAGAGTAATTGACTTTTAAATATATTCGGAAAATCTTTGATCTATTCTGTTTACTATTGTAAATATATAAAATAATTTTCTAACGAATCAATTTCTAACCTTTCACGTTGAACAATTAACTCTGTATATCTCCAACAGTTCCAAGTATACGATATGTATATATTTACAATAAAATAAGTTTATGAAAAAGAAACTTAAGCTAACTCATACACAGACGCATATACATACACACACACACACACACACATATATATATATATATATATATACACTTAGTTAGACTACGATCCAGGTATAGATTTCCTTAGAACGATTAAACGAGACAGTCGTCGTCGGTCATAAGAACGGAGAAGCTAGATATACCACAGACTTCGTCTTCGTTTCGCTGGAAAGTATACAAACGAGATACATCGAGGTGTCTTTACGCAGCTGTCGATATCGAGAATCCAAAGACAGTAAAATGATAGCAAGGTGATACGATCGATAAATCGTTTCGGTGATCCTTGAGAATTTAGTTCAGAAAGAATTATTCTCTCATTTTGTCCTCTTCAAGTATCTATCTATTTTGTAAGAAGATTAAAACAAAAAGATGTAAATGGAATTGAATGAATGAATGAATGAATGAATGAATGAATGAACAAACGAACGATTCGAAGATTCTCGGATCGTGACAATGAACGCGTTGTAAATCGTATCTCTTCGAGCTTATACCTCCCGGTTAGACAATAGAATGAAACCATTCTGTGAGACTGAGAAAAAGTTAGAAAAGAAAAAGAAGAAAGTACGAATCTCGAGATAAGTCCTCTCTTCGAACGAAGCGATTTAAAATATAGAAACTAAGCAGAGAGAATCCCTATCGCACAGTGCTTCGTAACAAAGCGATCGCCACCCGCCGTTTTGACCCTGACTACTACCACACTGCCTCTTGCTATTTGATTTCCAGCATTTCATTCTAATTTTAGTCAAACCTTCTCCTCTCTTTATCTCTCTCTCTTTCTCTCTCTCTCTCTTTCTCTCTCTCTTTCTCCCTCTCTCTTTCTCTCTTTTATTTCTCTTTCGTCAGACCGAAACCGGAAAATTTGTGACTACGCGGAACCAAAATGAAATTCAAAGACGTTCCTAGTACATTAACGAAATGTAAATATACATTATCGTGAGTCTTCGAATGAACTTGGTATCCATATATAATTTAATATAAATTAACGAGAACCCATTTATAAATTTTATCGTGAATACCCATCGCTGATTCATTTTCGAAAATCTGTCTACTTAAGTAGTCTTTCTTTTTTTGTTTTCTTTTGTTTTCTTTTTTTTTCTTTTTTTTTTCTTTTTTTTATTTTTTTTTTTTTATCGCAAGAGAATAAAAATGCCATGTATTCGTTTTTCTTTTACCTATGTATTCGTTTTTCTTTTTCTTTTTCTTTTCTTCTTCTTCTTCTTCTTCTTCTTTTCCTTCTTCCTCCTTTTTTTATTTTTCAATTCTAATTCAGAGCACAATCCGTTTGAGGAATTATATTTTTAACCTTTGCTCGCGTCTCGAACCTAATGAGCAACCTAATGAGTGTCTACAGTTTCGACGACAGAAAAGAGGAAACTTAAAATAATATTATAAAGTTAAAAAAAAAAAAGAAGAGTTTAAAAAGAAGAATATGATAATAAAATGATAATGTTCATTTAATTACTGATAATGAAAAAAAAAAAAAAACAAACAAACAAAAATGCAAATAACCGATCGTACACTGTCTTTGCCTCGTAGGAAAAAAAAAGGAATTATTTCACAAGAGAACGATTTCCTACGATGTTTATGCTGGGAAAAAAGAAAAAAGAAAAAGAAGAAAAAACGATCTATTTACCCGTGACGACTTCGTTACGACTTTTTTATTAGAAAATTTATATTTATATTTCTTTTATCAAAAGTAAACAAAAAAAACGAGAATTAATTAAACGTAAAAAGAAAAAAAAACCAAGAAATAAAAAAGTCAGAAAGAAAGAAAAAAATCAAATCAAATCAAATCAAATCGAATGTTTAAAACATTAGAAATAAATTAAAAAAAAAAAAAAGAAAAAAAAAGAAAGAGGAAGGAAGAAAAAGAAAAAAAGAAAAAAAAAAGAAAATTGCTAATTATCCTTATAACGAAGAATTTATCCTTTTAACAGACTTATATTGAGATTGAAATTGAACTTACCTCCAGGTGATCGAGATTCGATGAGAATAGATCCTTATTGGCTCAAGTTCACTTTATCCCGAATTTTCTTTCCACAGAAAAATAAATGAACACAATAGAAAATGTAGAATGAGGAGAAACAGAAGGAAGTAAAAGGGAAGAAGGAGAAGAAGAAGTGGAAGTGAAAGAAAACGAAGAAAAAGAAGAAATAGAAGAAATGACGGAAATAAAGTTCGAAGGGCAGGAAGGATCGTGTCGTAGGACCGATCGCGAAGGTTCGCGCGAGACTGGCTGGAGCCGCGTTCTTCGATCAGATCGAAGCCACCGAAAGAGAGAAAGATACACGTTCTATCGTAGCCTGAGGCCAACTTAGGACTGTGGACTCTGACAGTACACCGCGAGTCCTCCTCTCGCTCTTTTTCTCGCTCCTCCTCCTCCTCCTCCTCCTCCTCCTCCTCCCCCTCCTCCTCCTCCACCACCTCCTCTTCTTTCCAACTGCTCGCTCGGTAACTCTCCTTCTCTTTCTCTCTCTCTCTCTCTCTCTCTCTCTCTTTCTCTCTCTTTTTATCTCTCTCTTTCTCTCTCTTTCTCTTTCTCTCTGTTTCTGTCTCTGTCTCTCACGCACACACACACTTTTTCTTTCTTTCTCTTTTACACCAACGAACCAGCCAACTCTCCTCGCCACGTCTCTCTGTCTCTAACTCCCCACTATGTCTACCATACCGTGGTACACCAAGCTTGGTAGCACCAAGAGATCGGGATAGGTGTACAAGATCGTTTCTACCGAACCAGAGAAACCATTCGCAATCGAGACACGCAGGATTCTCTCTTCGTTATTCTTCTTCCTTTTGTTATCAATCACACTAATTTTATGATATATGTATGTTTCTTTGATATTTCTAATGTTTCTATTCCTATCTATGAAATAGATACTAGTTTTGTTCTAATAATAACATTTAATAAATCGATCTAACAATTATTTTTAACATAATTCTTTAATTGACGAATATACATACGTGTATACATATCTACATATATATATATATATATATTTCTAATGTTTCTATTCCTATCTATGAAATAGATACTAGTTTTGTTCTAATAATAACATTTAATAAATCGATCTAACAATTATTTTTAACATAATTCTTTAATTGACGAATATACATACGTGTATACATATCTACATATATATATATATATATATATATATATATATATATATATATATATATAATGATAAAAAGTAATTGAAAAATAGTTAATCAAATTATAATCGTCGGTTACTCGATTTGATAATATTTCACAGTTAATTATTACTTCTTGATTGAAATATGATTTATTTCGATAATATTGTCTATGAAGAGCTAAAGATGATAAATGCGTAAGAAATGTATATTCAGATAAAGATTAAAACTTCCTAATAATTATAAGAACGATTATATTTAATTATGATAAATCGAATGGAATAAAATTTAACGAATATATTTAACAACTTACATACGTCTTCTTTCTTAAAGATATCAATTAGATCTGTGTAGATTTAGTATGTACGTACGTATGATCTTTCAAGTCATACACGTACATTCTTTGACCCATAATATTTACAAGTCTATTTTATAAATTATTTACAATGTTCGATCTCAATGTATTGAAACTCGTGTTATTATTAGGACAAACAAGAAAAGAGAATAATGCCGACTAGTTTACCGAAAGACTATTATATGTTTTTCTTATCTTTGAACGAAGAGTGGGGGGAAAGTTTAAGTAAAACGTTTTAGATTATTTTCAATAACGTTACGAACAGTCAAGGTGAAAGGATCAACGACACGTCACGATCTATCACGACACGACTCGTTTCGTTTATTCTCCGTTAGTTGATTTTCTATCTTTCGCGATCGTCAGTCTTACGTGGACAACGACGAAGATGACGAAGATGACGAAGATGAAGAAGAAGAGGAAGACGAGGACAACACTCGACCGGCTTTACGTATTTTCCGTTACTATAATAATCATAGCTCGAGTCCTTCCAAGTCAAAGTGTCCTTCGTCTTTACAACAGACCTAGTTATTAAATATTTTTAATGCAAATCTTACAGGAAATGAATGTCATTCATTTCGAACAATAGAAAGTAATATAGTAATAATGACGATATTTTTCTAGGTGCGACATACGTAACATCGAATATCTAGGTTAATTACTATTTAAAAATAGACACAATCTATCTTTTATATCTCTAATAAAATATATGTATGTATATATGTATGTATTAATTTTGCGTACGCAAAAAGAATTAAACATTAGTTTTATATAATAATTGTTTCTACGTTGTAAGAAATCTTTCGAATGAAACACATACATATATATATATATATATATATATATATATATATCCGAACTGATAAATAAATGTTTTAAAAAGTGTATATATATATATATATTATATGATATCCTTATTACAAACATTTATATTATAATCATACATACATACTGAATTCTTAATATATGCTATAAATTATGGAGATGATATTGTTTCGAAATAATTACTTTCTACTTCTTAAGTTCATAAATCTTTAAGTATTTCAATTAATTATCTCTATAATTAGACTCGTAATTAATGTATAATATTTTATAATTAATTTATAATAGTATATATGGCGTAGTTATATTTAAACGAGCCATAACAAGATATCATTTTTCAAATAGTAATATAAACAAGTTTGGTTAAAAGGGAGTTTGATAATGAAATGTTAATAATTCATCGATTTTTATTATTCGAATTGTCATTCGTTTCACGATATGATTTTGAATCGAAAGGAAACGATCTAACAGTACATATGTTATGTCCTATAAAAATTCTATACGTAAGTATATATGTACATACTATGTAATGATTTATTAATCAGGTAGCATATACTTAAACTTCCGATTAATCAAGGAACCGCTGCTTTCCGTTTAACGTAACATAGAAGGGACTACTATTTCACTAAAGTTCAATGCGTCTTTCCTTATTAGGATTTCCTCTTTACCTTTTTATTCTTATTACATGTTCCTGTTACGAATGTAAAATGCATAGTTACAGGTGTGTCGAGCACGAGCGTCCTGTCGAGAAACGAATGCTATTTATTGTTTCGATGAAGAACGCGACTGACGTGTCCTACAAAATAATTCTACATCAGAAGTTTCAACAGTCGAAGTTTTCTAAACCTTACGTATGTATGTAGATCATTATGTGATTGAAATTATAATATTTTTCTTAATGCATATACGTATATATTTTTTTGTATTACTTGTTATACATATCGAAAGTAGAATAACCAGTTAAACACGTTTATTATAATGCATTACTTAATTTATTACATAAAATGATAGACAGAAATTAATATTTTTATGTATATTATATGATAATAACATAGGTATACGTAGAAATATAAAGAGAAGATGAGATACATACACACACACACACACATACATATATATATATTATATACATATATATATATATATATATGTATATAATTTAAATGGCTCATTTCTTACAAAATTATTATTCGATATAACACATTAAGAAAGAGATTAACGAAATCATTTGTATGTATAAATACGAAACTATCGTGAAAATGTCCCGGATACTTCCCGGTTATCTTCTAATCCGACCTTGATATACTGATGCGTTACTATGTAATATCATGAATGTACTTCGCTCGGCACTTTTCTTACGAGCTGGGACGAATTTATACATAAGGAAGCGCAACAGTCTCTTCCTAGTAGATACAAGTTTCCTCCTTTCTATATATTCGACGATATTTTGTACGATCGACGTTGCACGTTACTATTCCTTGTGGGACATTAGTATCATGTAACAGAAAACTCGTATGCACTTACGTAGAATCTCTTTGGTTAACTTATACATTATAATTCAAATCGATTTTCTTCTAAATTAGTATTACATTTTATTTGGAAGAAAAACTTTGAACTTTTCTATGAATAGACGAATAATAATTTATCGATCGTGGAAATTTAGTCGAATAGAGAAAAATTAATCGATATTAATTTAATACGAGATAAGGGTCATATGAAATTTTAATGATATAATCTTTTGATTATTTTATTTAAACACTATGAAAATGATAATATTAATATCTATATATGTTAATTTGTAGATAGAATATAAAAATTTCTAACATTATTCATTTTTCCTTATAGAATATTAAGTGAAATTTATCGATCTACATACATACATATAATATCTTTACCATCTTTCAGGAAATTATTTCATTAGATTTATAACGAATCGTAAGATTTAAAATTGTTTTAAAATTGTAAAAAAAAGATAATCTATACACAGGATATATAGACTTTTATAATATTTTTTATTTTATTCTTCGAAATAACATATTAACGATTGATAAAAGTAAACAATGTTTATGTGTCTTCTTATGTTTAGATTATTAGTAAGTCATTCTTCGACGAGGAAGTAAGGTACAAAAGGATCAATTTGAAACAATATAAAACGTTTTATTTTACCACTCAACGTGTTCGACCGGAACAAAGATGAAACAAGACATGGAATGGCAAACGTTGTAATTGCGAAACGCTTGATATACGCAGCCATTAACGCGAAAGCCGTTCTTATCGACTTCAAAGTTATTCCTCTATTCCTCTCGATGTGACTACCCGCATACCAACTGCATATTAAAAAAAAAGAAAAAAAAAATACAAAAAAAAAGAGAGAGAGAGAGGAGAGAGAGAGAGAGATTTAGGTATCAACAATTATTTATAGGATATATCAAAATTAATTTCATATATATATATATAAGCAAACGTTTGATTAGAAACTTCAAATAATTACAATTTAATTTTATTTAATTTTCAGAATTATTTTCTTTTTCTAATCATTCAGTTGTTCGATTCGTTCACTTAACGTCAAGTAGAAATTGTTCTAGTTATTTTCTTAACGCTCATTATGGTTAGACTCGATCACCAGTGCAAGGTGACTTCCGACGTATAGTTGTCATTGTCGTCGTCGTTGACGTAAGTAGTTGGACCCAAGTCCACGTCGTATATTTTCTGACCCAGAAAGAGATTCTCTCTCCCTCTCTCTTTATATCTATACACGTATATCTTTGACGTGAAGTCCTATGATGTGGAGGGGGCTGCTCGCGACAAGTAAAGCTGAGAAACGATTCCTTGAGGCGCGCTTATTGCTTCAGAGACGATAAATGAGTCAACGATTAAGACCATCGTCATCGTCAAGTAACCGTCACATCTTTTTGGATCTAGATTACCCAAAAAGATATACATACATATAGACATGGATCTCACACTTGTATTAAAGAAATATAGGACGTTTTCGTTTATGTCTTTTTTTAAGTTTGAAATTTCTCTTTTATATAAGAAACAATGAAATATATCAAGTAGAAATTATAAAATTACACTTTAAGAATAAATTCAATTCTACTTTCTTTTGTAAATTATTTTTAATATCGTCGTTAAGCGGCCGATGATTGCGTAAGTGACAGTGAGTAATTGTAGATCATATATATTTTTTTTTCATTTTGAGGTATTACGTACTTTAATGACGTAAAATCAATTTAAGATAAGATAAGCGATAAATACAAAATCTATGTCAGATTTTTCACTTTCTTAATTAACGTCAAATTGAGTAATATTTATATATATATATATATATATATATATATATATATATATATATTTGTTATGTAATAATTAATGAACGTAATATATTTGTTTGGTTTTTAAGAATAATATGCAAATGAACGTTTTCTCAAATTCGTTTTTTAAGAATTTCAAAAATTATTGTATCGTTTAGCATCAAGTAAATTACACAAATATCCTTTCCTATTCGACTTCCCTAACATGCGTACGTACATGAAGTTTCCGCGTGGAACATCCAATTTTATCGAGCAAGTCATCGGTGAGCTGAACGAACTGGTTGCGAAACGGGACACCTTGTAGATGGTAGCAAAGCCGTCGACACCTGCCGTTAATAATCCCGCTGTCCACTTCCCTCTGCCATCAGCTCGCTCGCTTGCATCTTCGAATTCTCTTTCTCTCAAGCGTTTCTTTATCTTCAATTTATAATTGCTAAGACTCTATTAGTCACGCCGTATCTTTGACGACAAAATTGTACAAACTTTAGATCAGATCTCATCGGATAAAGTCGAAACATTAAAAATTTTTCGATATCTATCGATATCTTCGAATTTATCAATCTTACATTAATATCGATAAATCTATTGCTCAGTATCATTAAAAGGAACCGAACTAATGAAAAAGCAATCTCAAGATCGGTTAGTTTACGAATCTCTTGAGATCTATATACGTTATTAACGGTAAAAGGTAATAGCGAGATAATTAATTGAGATTTCGATTGAAATTTTAATTAAAATAAGTCAGCCCTCATTAAATGATTAAGTAAGTGTAGTTTATAAATAATATAATTGTATAATTGTACTATATAAATATTTCAGAATACATATATACGTGAAAACATTATCGAACTATTCCTTGCAATAAATTCGAAAAGTTTTTTCAATGAAATAAAAGAAGAGAAAGAAGACGTAGGAAAAGAAGAAGAAAAAGAAATAAGATGTTATGCTTTAATCCAGCGAATCGAAGATCAAAGGATTCACCGGTTCCGTAAGACTCTCACCATAGACTTCACATTGCTATCGTATCGATTCACGCGTTATCAAAGCGCTTTAATCGACTACGATTCTTACAAGGCGTAACCACCTTGATTCTATGGAAAAGCGTTTCTCCTAACCGTTATTTGAGCCGATAAGAAGAGCTTCTTTTTCTAACGGTCGACATTGTTCAAGATAACTAAAAACAGGAAAGGCAAACTGGTCGTCATAATCTATGCGCTCGATTCGATTTTTTATAGAAAATGAAGATTATGTTCGTAAAGCTAACAAATAGAAAAAAAATATCATATTTTGAAAAATCTCATAATGATAATATAGAAATTTCAAGAACGTTTCTGTTTTATTTTTATGAAAAAGAATACACATACACACACACATACACACACATATATATATATTTTTTTAATCGTCCTCGTAGCCGTGAGAAATTAAATATTTGATCAAGAAAGATTCGCATGATCGATCGTTTTCGGTACAACGAACTGAGCACTGTGTAAAAGGAGAAAGGGATATTAATTAAAAGAAATATTTCAAGGCGATTTTTTCAATACATTCAATAAACTGTACATTTAAATATAAGATCGACTTTGTTCGGACAATCGCAATATTGTTAAAAGTCGATAAATCCGAAAAACTCATTATCGCAACATTGTAATCACTGTAACATAATTGTCAAAACGATAGATCCTATCTTATTTCTGTCAATAGCTTTGAAGAAGAATCACCGAGAATGTAAATACAGATAAAAATAAGAGTAAATTTATTAATTAGATGTCATAAATGATCACTTGAAATAACTATTAATATACGTTATCATTCTTAAAGTATTAAGAACGTATTATCACATGTAAATAATTCTATTTGACGCGCTAAATTTAAATTACGATACTTAAGTGATCCTATTTTTAAATGTCATACGATATAACCGATGTCGCTATTATAAATTAAAAAAACATAATATTTTTATATGAAGTAAAATAATTCCAATGGTATAATTAAGTGACAAAATAAAAAATTACATTTTATCGAAGAATTAGAATGAGAAAGAGAAGTGTCTAGAATAGCAAGCGATTGCGAGCAAAGCATCTTAATCGGGCATCTTAGATAAGAGAGGAGAAGAAGGAGGAGGAGGAGGAGGAGGTCTAGGAGAAGAGAAGTCACTTAGGTAGAAGAGTAACTCTATAACATAAACGTGCCAGTTGGTGGCAAATTTGCGGATGCATGCAATTGGCATTGCTTGCTGCTCTGCTAGCTCTACACTAGCTCTACTTGCTCTTACCTACGTTCGTTTGAACATATGTACCGATACATGTTGCACATACATATATATGTATCTATACATACATAGATACATATGTGTATATATATAAGATATATAAGATATATGTATATATATATATATATCGGTTGATAACACGTAGAACGAACATGGAGGACAAATCGGCAACTATGAAGCAGTTAACTTAATATAGGTTGGCTCGCGCGAGCGCAAACATAGAACCGCGAGGAATATATGCCATCGACGACCTCGGAACCTTCCCTAGGTCAGTGTTAATTCCCTGGAACGCCATCGCCTCTTCCGAATATCCGATTGACCTTCGAGACGATGAAGACAACGAAGAAGAGAGAAAAATCTCGTTCCACGTCAAAGAGAGTTTCCATGTCTTTTTTTATTTTTTCCTCGTTCGTTTCTTCCCGAAACATTTAATGTGATTGGATTGATAAGATATCTTTCCTTCGACTAGTCGTCTATCTTTCCTTTTTCTTTTCTTGTTTTTTCTTTTTCTTTTCTTTTTTTCTTTTTTTTTTTCTTTCTTTCATTCCTCGAAAAACTTTCTGTGAGATGTCTTATATAAGGTAAATCACTTTTTTATGAACTTTTCCTATCTACGTTTGACATTTTGTTAAAATACAAACCGGTGATCCAATGAAACTCTAACCTAACTCGTATGCATCGAAATTTTCAATATTTATATTGTATTATTATATTATTTATATTTATATTTATATTTATATTTATATTTATATATTTTAATTATTTTATAAACAATATCAGTATAAATGTTATTCTGACATTGGATATTTATTAGCATATTAAGAAAGTATAATATAGTGGGATAAGATAATATAGCGAGTTGAGATAGTATCGTATAGTATTGGAAAAAGTGATCGAATTGAAATTAATTTTGAAGGAAATGATTAATTATCTCTTCGTTTCTTTCTCTCTCTCTCTCTCTCTCTCTCTCTCTCTCTCTCTCTCTATCTCTCTCTCTTTCTCTTGGGTGTGAAACTTCAAGAAGACCGCGAACATGGTGCAAAATTTTAAGTTCTTCTTAATAATGACTCATGACAAATACATAAGTATTGCTTATAGATATCTCCTATCTCTTATTCTTTTTTAATTCTACTTGTAATCTCATGGTCATATATTCGATTTATGTATTACTTATATATGTCTTATCTCTCGTCGATCGCAAAAAATATTTCACTTCATTGAAACAAACGCTTAATAAAGTGAAATCATTTGAAACGTTACCATTGCCAATAATTTAATAATTTTCAAAAATATCAATAATTTTTTTTATCGTAACGATGCAAAATGATCATATATTGATGCATTGCTGTAAGTTGTTAAAATACTTTTTTCTTTTTTTTTTTTTTTCTATAAAAGCATGACACCACAAATGAAATCATAAATTTCTTAAAAAATAAAAATGTTAAATACTAATGATCATAGAAATGATTAAAAAGACATTGATCTTGAAATAATTATCATTCATATTACTTAATTTTAAATTAAAGAACTTAATTTTAGATTAAAGAAAAACTTTATATATATATATATATATATGTATTATGAACTATTGATTTTGATTTTTGCTTGCAGAACTATCTCCCTTCTTATATTTTTTCTTCCTTTCCTTTTTTTTCCTTTTTTTTTCATTTCATTTCTATTATTTTCTTCTCCTTTCTTTTTCTTCATATTCGATCGATTTGAACCATGCACACGTGGAATGCCATAATGATACCGAGCATGGTATATAATGTCGCAACTATGAATATACCATGTAACGGAGAAAGTACGTTTGTAAGAAACTATTAAGTTTGAAGAAATCAAAGTGGCTTCATCGAACGCCAATAAAGATATTACTTAACCGATAAACACGCTCCGATTTTCATTTGGCGAATTCGCAAGCGAATTTGTTTATATTTCTTATTGCAAGCATACCGATCAAAATCTATAACGATCGTTTTGTTCGATTAAAATGATACATTGATATTACTTCGACAATGTTACAATATATAATCGAATTATTATTTAAACTACAAAAAAGAAAAAAGAAAAAATGAAGTAATTTTATAAATATTAAAATTAATTCATCTTGATTTAATAAATTACATTAAAACGTTAAAATATCGATCATTTTACTCAGTAAAGAAATATTATTATTTTCTTTCTCTATAATGATTTTTCACAAATAGGTTAATATCCATCTTCGTGACACCCTATTTATTAGACGATCTAAACTCTCACGTTTGGTCTTACTTCTGAATAATAGTTCCCCCTATACTCGAGACGATTGCACTGGATATCTTGTTGCTACGACTAAACCCTTAACTGCTAAAGTGTGAGTCAATTTGAGAGTGCCGGACATTATTATTTTGTAGAGAGCCGTTAACTGGTTTATATAACGCGGGAAATGACATTAAAAAATTAACGTAACTTAATAAAGAGTAAATTTCGATATTTCTTACATCGTCCAACGTCAAACGAGCAAAAGATTCGAAATTCGTTCTCACGTGCTTGTAAAGTGATCATGAAAAAAATTAAAAAAAAAGAAAGTATATATATATATATATAATTTTAAATAATACATGAGAGATAGTATTAATACGATAAAAAAAATAAAATAATACAATATAAAAAATACAAG